TCAATCTCGTTTGCTGGTTCCTGCTTCTTCTTGCGTTGTGCCGCCTTGGCATTCTTGGCTTCATAAACTCAAGCAGCCTACCCAGTCGCTTTTTTATTAGTTTCGATTCGCCGTTCTACTCCTAGAACCGCTTGGCCTTTCCTAAGAGCGGTTCTGAATTTCTCCACGGAGACTTCTATGTGATAGGTCGATAGGTGGTCCTACATCATGAAACTGATTTCCTCAGAACACTTCTATGTCAAGTAGTACAGGAAATATGCCATTTATATGTTGCCTCACTCTAGATTCTTGTAGCACGCTACGAACTTGTTCGCGAGTTCTGAAAATTCCGCAGGTCTATACGCTGTTGCAAGAGTCACACTGGAAGCAATATATCAACAATCTCAGCCCTGCTACTGTTGGGCGTATTGATAACGTCTACCTCAATCTGGGCATCCTCCACCAGCTTCTTTCCAACTTTTAGAATTATAATCCTCAGTGGTGGCATGAATGTAGCGCTCGGTATAAATGAGAACTTCTGATTTATTCCAGCCTCGTAGCTTTGCTTCAAAAATCCTCAGCATTAATCGTTGTCCCTGCGTCGAGCTAGAAAAATCAAACTCTTACATTAAATGATTCTCGGCTGATTTCTTGACTTTCTTTCACATACCAAGCTCTATATTACAGAGCGGGTGTTATTTCGGTCTCCTTTGCGTAGTCATTGGATCCCATTGCATCAAATCTGGCACTCGCTTATGTTTTTGTGGACTTCCAAGGCGCTCCCGATTCTACCTCGTCGATAATAATTAGCCATCTATTGTGCTAACCCTGTTATCGCAAGTGAATACCAACAAACCTTCAACTTTGATTGTTTCCATGACTACTAAACTACGAGACTCCCATGAAATTCATATCTAGGATAATTACACAACGATCTCATTGAACAATTTCGACGAAATTTTGCCAACACCTCTAAAGCTTTCAAATTGCTTGGGGAAACCAAAGATGATATCCTTGCCTAATGTCGGTGTTGTTGAAATCCACAGTCAATAAGCTCTCTACCAAGACGACTGACGCTGCATCGCCTTTAGCAAGACAAGTTTGTGGACAGCCTCCGTGAATACGCACTGGATAGATATAAACAACAAATCCTGAGTTCAAATCGTGACAATATCAGTTCCTGCAAACTCTGTCGCTATATAGATGAATGTAGAAATTAAAATCTAGATGTCGTTATAAAGTCGCTCATGCCTCTGCACGTAACACAACAACAATCATTTTTCCACCGATTCAGCGTATCGATCACACGTAACACAACGCTTATCGCACCAGACGACAACGCACTTTCACGTCTGTCTGCGGGTCACTGAGCGATACTTGAGCGTTTAAATTGGTTTTGTGCTGCAAAGTTAATGTTAATATACATTTTCGGCTGAAAATGCATATTTATCGCCCAAAAGTAAGAAGGTATGAACATTTTTTCATTAGATATTATCTTTCTTCTGCGGCCGGTTTTTGCAAGATACCGGTATTTTCCTCCATTTTTATGATCCTTAAAGGATAAGAAAGCCAATTTTCTGCGAATCATCTTTCTTATCAGAAGGTAGCTAACATTCTGCAGAGGCGATTGTCGGTGGATTTCTTAAACCATCTATTGTACAATTTTCTCGTCACATAAAACTGTGCAAGTTCTAAAAAGCAAGAATCAAAACACTCCTGTTGCCTACACAGTCCAGAGTCCGGACATGATACACTCTTGTCCATCTACTTGTGATTTCAACATCACGCTCCTTTCATTGGCGTAAACAAAACATATGCCTACATACGGCATTGTAACAATTGGCCACTGCTTCAAAGATTTGTTTTTAACAAGCAGATGTAGTGAAAGGCGTCCACTTTTTGACCTAACAAAAACACGCAAAACCACACACACATATATACACACACACACACACACACATACATACACACACACACACACACACACACACACACACACACACACACACACACATATATATATATATATATACACACACACACACACACACACATATAACATGTGCGTTAGTTCAAAATATCTCGAGTATAATTTGTGCATGTATATGCTCGAATACATGTTTGTATATATTCTAAATTGAATTATCTCCAGTTGAAATGATAAGTATAACTCGTATATGTATATTTTTCTAATAAATGTTTATTCTAACTCCAATCATCTTCAATTGATGCCGTTCTAATATTTCTTCGCGTATTGCCTCACGTCTCGGCACACGCATCCGTCTTTGCCTGTGTGTACTTGCGGCTATTATCTCTCCATCTAGTCTGTGTCAACTACCCCTGGGTATTTAGGCAAGTGTATATGTATATACACACATGCATATATTCCACACCATGTGTGGAAATGTATATCTTTAACTTCACGCCTCAGCAATCCCCTCTTCCTCCCCTTGCTGTTGCTGTTTCTTCATCTGCTCTCTGTGGCGCTTCTTTCTCAGGTACTCCTTGACATATGGCTCCTTGTCTTGACCGATCAAATTGGCCAGAAAACCAATCACGTCACGCGCGTCCAGCTCCTTTTCTGCGCGCTGGCCCCATCTCAGCTCCATGTCGTCCTGAAAAGATAAAAGCAAAAATGTTTTCAGTTTGAGTAAAAATAATACGAGAAAGATGCACAGCGGACACAATTTCAGTCTGCGTCCCTATAGCCTGAGTCAGCTATACAGTCATCGCATGTAGAGGATATATGAAGGCTAATACGCTTTTAGTTGCGTACTAATTGCTGGAGCCGGCAGTGCAGTAGAGCACGAGAATAATTCGGTGAGATTATAAACACGATCTGGCAACTGCTCCTATCTGTCACAAATGAGTAGACATATTATACACCCACATCTTACTACGCATACTACAAAGATTTGAGGCTACGATTTAATGACACTGCCGCATAAGAACTTTGAAAATTCTTACCATTTGTGAGTAAATAAGTAATATTTCCTTGCATACAGTGATGGTACAACGTGCTTCTTAATAACTAACGAGCAAACACACACAAGGAGCGCAACAGTCACAAGAGCACAATATCCACTCAGCGCAACGCAAAGGACAGACTTTTCTAGAACAGCACTCTACTATCACATTCGGCTGTTCAGTGAACATAAACTCCAACTTGAACTTTTGTCAATAACACGAGGTTTCCACCAGTAAATCTTGCAGGCTGAAAGATAAATTGGTTCTCGCAACAGAGATACACACACCCTCCCATCCACTTTGACCGGGCACATATCCAGCCATCGCTGCTTCACGAGTAGGTCGAATTTGTACAATTTTGTCACATCACCGAAAAGCGGATGCCGTTTCTCAGACGCATGCAACCCCAGCTTCTCCAAGTGCACCCACAGTTGAGAGTGCGTGATCATTTGATCCTATGCGCGCGAACGCGATTGTGGACAACATAGTTGAGTATACTTATTGTGGGAATATACGTGATATGAGTAGACGCATACGTACATTGGGCTGTGATATAAACATCGCCATGTGCCTGTATGTGCTAGGTCGTGACACGTACAAGCTGATATATTACCAGCCCGAGAAGGATCATATGCACAAATTGGCCTATTTTGTCGTGTGTATGAGGAACGCACAACACAACACAAATGTTCTGGCAGACATATGTGTCGGAATGCTTTGTACAGATTGCCTCGCGCTGCTTATACAAAATCCTGTGCCCTACACAAGCATGCATAAACTGATTTTCACAAGATATACGTGTCGAAATAAGGCCAGAACTCATGCTCTAAAGCGAGAATACGAACAGAGCGATAGGAGTTAAGATAGCTAGCTTTTTTGTGTTCGTACTATTGCGATTTGCTTGTATGTATATTGTGCGTGTAGGGTGTGTGTGGGGAACATTCGGGTATAAGGCGAGACAAACCACTCAGGAGTGCTATTTGTTCCCCAACTCTCGATATCTCAGTAATATCTGCCACTTGATCAGAACGGTCGAGCAATACAGTACGCCTACAGAACTTTATTATAGGCACACAGTCGATGACAGAGAACCAGTTTTTAGTAAATCAAAAAAAAACAAGCACTATCAAATACCAAGCACCCAATAAGACATTCAATTGAGTGGTTGTAGACCAGAACGACAACTGAGCACTCAAAAACACAACATACGTCGAAGCGAATATAAGATAGGATAATAAACACTTTCACACGGATATTCCTCGCGTACAAATGATTTCCAGGTCCGAGCTTCCAAATACATATAATTTAAGTGAACATAGGCTAGGATGACAAAACACCTTTGAATATATGATACTCATGTACGGCCACTATCTGATTTCGAGCCAACAATAACACTTACGTTTAAGTAAATGTAGGCCAGGATGACAAAGACCAGTGCAATGTTATGGTGGTCATCTGAGAAGTCAACGATCTGGGCGCGATCGGCTGGGTTGTGCTCCAGGGCATTGGTGAGAATGTACAGCTTCTGTTGCTTGGCAGCGGCCTGTTAAACGAAAGAGAGTTCGGCACGCATGATGAGGCAGACACCACGCATCACATTCTGATACATAGTACCGAACCGAAGTGATTTTTTTTATCGAGAGCACACTTTACGCAGAGTGAATGGGCTTTAAACATAAACATCGAATAAAACGACTGCGGAGGAAAAACCAAACCATTGGTCCAGGAAGTCGTTCAATATAGCGTTTGGAAGAGATAGGTACAGGCAGCAGGAAAAAGCACCACCAGCAGTTTTCATCGTAATTCTGTAGACATGGAAATATATTCATTATAGGTACTAAAATCTTACCTTCTTTCGACCGGTTTTGGAAGGGCGAGTTTTCTTGTCTCCTAATTGGCAGATATCCATCCCAAAGACTGTTTTGAACTTTGCTGACGCCCCATTGAGTATCTCACTGACAAAACGCGAGTACTTCTTATCTCCAGGGTTGGCTAGGGTTACTGCGAGAAAATATAAGACCGTCAGCAAACATGCATAGAACCATGCATGTGCACAAGTCATGGATCATATTATGGTTTCCCCAGATGTTCTGCACCTTTTTAGAACAAGCGAAAATGAGAACTCAACAAATTCACCCTTTCGTGTGGTTTACCACATACAATAACGTGTCATATGTTGCCGACCTAACTACGATCCCCATGTACCCGTACTTGTAGACATGGATAAATCAGATGTAACTGTCTACACAAGAGCTACATACATGTTGCAATCACCTCGAGATATTCTACTTAAAAAATATAAGCTAAACGAGTATATTCACAATAAATTGTGAAGCAATTATCCTTGATGTCAATCCTTAGTCACAAAACCGGAACCCGTCGTGACACACTCCTACGTATATCAAGTTAATGTATGGTTTTAACTCTGTGACACTCTTCGGATGTGAACACACTCTCCTTGCAACCCAAAATATACATCCTTCATGCTACTGACTCCTACAAACATGCATTCATATGTCATGTGCAAGTACAACAAACATCCCTGGTTTAGTAGTACACGTGCTCTGCTGATTACGCTAGACAGCGTAAGTATCATGCACAATCGTTTACGATTACAGAAGAGGACTATTGGTACGCTTCATTTCTCCGGGGTTGTAATGACGTTGGACCACGAACCCGAATGACTCATACATATATGTAACAATACATCATGTGCAAATGTATCTGTGATACCTTAATGTCGAACCACATACCATTTCTCAAACGTGCAAGTATGTTCTCGTACAACACGTATATTCATCTCTAGTCTGGCACTTAAAATTGACAGAAGGCGGATGTACCACCAGAAATAATTGCAACCTATGGTAGTGCACTACATACAACCTTCCGGTATATTTTGATGTTAAACCACAGCCCCATTAGGATCCATACATACGTCCACATATATTATATTGAGACACTTATCATCATCTAGAATACTCTAATATTTAAAAAAAGAAAGATAAATGTCTTGAAATATATGCCCTGGCAATATATCACTTACATCCTTCTGTGATATCTTGTTGTCGTACCACAGCCCCATTCTGACTCTTGGCCAAGAAGATACACACGCAGTCATTGATCAACTTCTGTTTCACGTCTTCTTCCAATTTCATCCATGCAGTAGCGCTCTGGGTCATACGTTGGGTCTGTTGAGATTAAAGTAGCAGTGTTAGTATATCGACTCAGTTTTGTATACGCTTGTATATTATATTAGATTACAACTCTGGCTGACTTCCTATGGATAACATTGGATGATACTTCCAGCCGAGATTCCTTGCTCATCAACTGAGCGAAGAAATCGGCAACCAAGACAGCAGTGTGACAGAAAAATTGGAAAACCAACGTAAGAGAGTAACAGAGTTGTATAGTGACCGAGGCAACAAAGTGTCAAATTTACTACACGAATGTGGCAGCGAAGTGGTAAGAAATATAAAAAAACAAGCGATCTTAGAGCACAAAACAGCAAGTCGAGTTAAGTTTCGGTGTATGCAGCGCACAATCAATATACTGTACATATATCCACTTTAAAAGCTGCCTTGCATAAATTTATAGTTTGAAAGATGAGAATAGAATAACATTGCAGAGGGAAAAAATCTGATATGTTGAGTTGGCGATATACGTGTTTTATGCAAACCACAGCAATTCTGAACAACAAACAGCACATCCGCTATTCCGTCTACACACGTGGAGACTGTATAGTAACTTACATTCTCCATCTCATCGTCTGACGAATTATCACTCCTGCAGGATACGGAACATTGAAAATTTACAAGTCGTTCCAATCGTGTAAAAAACATAAAGACGCTCACTTAATTGTGAAAAGAATATCAATGATTATTCCGTGAGCAGCGATCCGACAATGACAACAGAGAGCGTGCATGTGCGATATGCACATACACAATGATTTACTATGTTGTATACAATCATGTCCCCGTGAGAAATAACATCAGTTATAAAAACAAATATACATACACATAAACACACACACACACACACACACACACA